AACCTGTTATACTTTTGAGTCTTGTGGTTCCGATAATTTTTAAATTTGTTGAAACGGGAAAAAAGAAGTGTTTCAAACCTGTTGTACCGTACTGTTTTATATAGGATACGACAAGATTGCTGACCAAGGGGGACGAGCTCATTAAAAAACAGGCTTTGTCCATTGGGCTTATAAGCAGAGCAGGGTTCAAGAGGGGGAAACGCAACCAAAGCCACTAAAGCCCTCTCCACAAACCATATTTTGGAACAATAGGTGCCAGATTTTGGTTTCTGAGACCTGACATAATTATTCTGGGGATTAAATATAATCTGATAAACTTTCAATTATTTAGGCAGATGCTACATTAGGTAAACAATTTGGTACTCTACGTGCATATCATCTGCCAATGCTGATCTCGAGTTACTTTTTACTGTTTCCTTGGGTTACTGAGGATTAAATGTGCGCAACTTGTGAAAATGGTGGAGGAACGAAATGTATCCCACCCAACCAAACCTGCATCAACAGGAAATGGAGGGAGGATATGGTGGTAGGCCATGATAAGGAAGTCCCAAGGGATGAAACATATAATCGAAAATGTGCATGGGTTGTGCCAAGTGATTCATAACCCTTCTCTTCTGCACACTATGTTTTTGTGGTTGTGCAAGTCTCATCATTCTGTGTCGTCCTGGACGTAACTTTATGAATTGCCAAGTGATTAGTAACTTTATAGATCTTTTGGACTCCTTCCACCAATATCAATGCACAAACCATATTTTTCTCCTGTTAAAGTCATTGCTGTGAACTTTTGCATGTTATGACAGTGTTACAGTCATTTTTTTCTTTTTCTTTTCTTTTTTTTTTCCTGGTATTGATTATAAACAATTAACACCTGGACGCATCTCCTTCAAGTTGGCAAGCTTACCACTGGACGATATGAATGCTGTGTATAACATGAGATTGCTAGAGGCATCAACAGAAACTAAAAAAAGCTCAATTGCAACCTTCTCACTAAAGTTTGATGTTCACAAGGTATTGGATTGAATATTCAAATGATTTTCATGTTCAATTTAACCCTGCAACAAACATTTTAGTTCTCTCATTTTCTATTGCAGAAGAAGCATGCTGCTAGAAAAGACCGTCCTGGTGAAGAAGTGAAGTGGCAACTATCTCGCTTTTACCCTGTAGTAGAGGTATTTTATTCACAACGTTTGCCAAGTAGAATGGACACGCACACAAGTGTATGTATGAAGTCGTGTCTGCATTTTGACATATAGGGTATTTGAAATTGGTCTTGCCTTGATTTTAGACGAAGGCGATCAGATAACATTACCCAGTATAGTAAGTCTCTCAAAAGTGTGTCTTTTATCTCATCCTATGTGCAGATAAGTTGTAAGTTCATGCCAGTTGTTCAGTTACAAATATTCATGATATTCATACCAAAAATGTGGATTCAGTTTTCTGATGTGACTTAAATTAGTTTCTCCTTTGACTGCAATTCCTCTGCATTAAGTGATACAGGCTGCGTATAGAAGTTCGATGAGTTTTATCCAATTCCGCGATTTCATATTTGCTATATGGCACGTTATTGGACAATAACTTATAATAAACCTTTGATATTCATCCCTTTGGAGGTTGATCATATTTCTATTATCCATTCTCCAGTAGCATGTTCTGTAATGCTGCAGTAATATTGTGTTCACAAACAATGAAGAGGAAGAAAATTTAAGATGTAATTTTGCACCATGGAGCAATGTGGACTTTAACTGTCATCCCTCAAAATCTTCATTTTTTTGCTCTTTTCTCTAGTGCTGTGCTTCAAATGACTTTTGGTAATTTACCGATGCTCCTTCCAGGAACTTATTGAAAATCTTAGTAAAGGTGAACTACCAAAGTGTGACTACCCATGTATGAATGACCCGAGTCCATCTTTCCATGGATCCTCTCAGACTGCATCATCAGTACGGACAGGTCAAGGTCCAGCTCCTCATTCAATGAGATCAAGACAGACTGTTACATGGGCTCGTCCTCAGAACTCTGATGATGGGTATTCAAGGTAAATTATGACTGAGTTTCATCTCATGTCAGTTAACTCTGGTGCCATGTGAAAATAGCCCTGTGCTTAACTTCTTTTGATAAACTAAACAGTAACATACCTTGTCTCCAATTCGATTTCTCTAGAACGGCACTATGGTAGAATAAGAGATTTTGGGTAAAACTTAGGTCAATTTGATTAAGTTGGGCTTGGGTTTTAAATTAGAAATAGGAAAATCATATTTTGGGGTTTGGCTAAATTAATTAGTTAGCAAAGTTATTTAGCCCCCATTTGGGCCACCTTTTTATCTCATTAAAATGAAAAATATGACCGTTATCCATCACGTTAACATTTAAATTCAAATTTTCTATCTCTTGTGTGGGCCTCAATAACGGTTATATTTTTTCTTCTCATTCTACAATAAGGTGGCTCAAACAGGGCCTTAGAAAAAAATAAAATAATTTGGTTATTTAAGATAAAAAAAATTAGAAAGATTCGATTCTTGGTCTAGAATCGAGAACAGAACCAAATGCATCAGTTCTTGATTCGGATACCCGTTTGCGTATTTAACTTAAGAAGAACCGTTCGGTTCGGTTCGGTTCGACTCGATTCAAGTGTTTTGTCCGGCACTACTTAATTTTGTTTTACTCTATTATTTCAGTTCCCTAGTAATGCTTTTTTTCATTTTTTTTTTTTTTTGCAGTGATTCAATTTTGAGGCATGCATCTAGTGATTTCAAGAAGATGGGTCAACGTATTTTCATTTTTATTGTTGGTGGGGCAACACGATCTGAGGTATTACGTTAGTTGGCTTCTCTCTTTCTCACACACACACGTTCTCTCTCTCTCTCTCTCACACGCATGTGCATGCCTTATAATGATACTTTTTAATTTATTATTTCTTTGCAGCTGCGGGCTTGTCACAAGTTAACGGCAAAGTTGAGGAGGGAAGTTGTTCTAGGCTCATCCAGTCTCGATGATCCTCCACAATTTATTACGGTATTTGACTTTGCTCTTTTCCTTAATCCCTTGCCATTCCCACCCACCGCCCCCCCCACCCCACCCCAACCCAACCCAACCCAACCCAACCCAACCCCAAAAAAAAAAAAAAAACGTTTTCCTTAAAAACAAGGAAAATTATGCATATTTTTAAAAGTTGGAAAGTAATTACCTTGGAAAAAAAAAGTAATCAACCACTTCAAAGTAAGAATTTGGGTGAAGAACTTATATTTTATATGAAAAATAAAAAAAATTTGTACCAAACAGGCCCTTAGATTTATGGAAACTGTTACAATAAAGTTAGTATTGAATTACTACCTTATGGTCGAAGATCTATATGTTACACCCGAATAAGAGAAATAAACGTGTTCACTTATAATTCTCGTGATATCGAAGAACTAATCTAGAAGTATGCATTTAAGCCAAACCAGTGCAATAAACGTGAGTCCTAAAACACCGGCGGACCCACATGGGGTCAAATGACCCCACAATTTTATTTTATTTTACCTAAACATTTTTGAATTCTCATTTTTGACCCCACGAGAAAAATGGTCTCGATCTGCCCCTGGTTGGTGCTACAACACAGATGACTCCCTATAGATAGTTTTCAAGATGTTGGATTTATTTAGTTACAGTGACAGACTTTTCTTTTTATTACCTAAATCCAAATATAATTAACTAGAAAAGAAATACAACCAATAATGGGCTCTCAACAAATTGCACAAAAATCTATATGAAAATGCATCCAAAATGAGACAGATTGAAGACTCCAAAACATTTGGGACTGAAATTATTTTAAATTTCGTTGATTGTTTACTAATGGCATTAGGTCGGGAGCTAAAGAGGAACATTACCAGTGAAACTGCCAATATGAGATTTAGATTTCAAGGTTTTAAACTAATAATTATCTATTGGAGATCTTATTTGTCACCTTATGATCATATGGAAAATCAATGTCCTCCGTTCAAAGGCCGTATGAATCATTGAATGGAAGTGATAAAAATTAAAAACCAATCTGAGAGAAAAACTAGTAAAAGATGAGGCTTCCATTTGGCAAATTTATAAATCAATTTATAAAGAGGAATAGTGAAGTGTTCCACAAAATGTGTGGATAATAATCGAGTAGTTGAAATTAATGTTTTGACTTAGATAGAATTTATAGACCAGTTTATAAATTGTATCCAAACATAGGCTTAGATTTTTGATCTGCATCAGCACCATATAAATCCCTATGGGAGTCATTGTTTTCCTTAGATGAGAGGAAGGAGGGGCGTTGGGATAGAGGGTTTGGAAACTTTAATAGGAATGCTCTAAATTATCGAATCCACAAAATAACATCTGATTTCCTTGTCAATTTGATTGCAGAAATTGAAGCTGTTGAGTGGAAATGAACTCTCGCTCGATGATCTTCAGATTTAGATATACATAGCCATTGAAGCACGATATGCATTTTCCCCTCGCGCCTGCTTTCCAACTGTAACAATCAATCCATATATAGTTCCATGTCTTTCTTTACTTCACTTTCTGAATTCATGTTATTCTTGCCCAGGCAAATCTGCTTGATGGCTTTATGTTATAATTGATTTGTTGAGGCCATCTTAGCAATCCATGGTGTGTTATAATATCCCTTCAGCCGTTGCAAAGGATCGCTTAACAGAAAATTTCAGCTACCAGAGACCCGTTTAATGGTATTATCATTCGTTTATTTTTTTCTCAAGTCTTTGTTTCTCCATCTCTATATTTCAGTCTTTATTTATCCCCTGCCTTGTTCATTTAATTTTTAGTTTACGCTTATGGAATTTACCCATTTCTTTTATTTTTTAAATTTCTTACTAATTGACAATCTTTATGAAATGTTTCAAGAGTAAATATGACTAAATAAGAGAAGTATGACAAAATATGTCAATCCAATTTTGACATCAACATATTTAGTACATCGAATTGAAATCGGGATTAACACCAAAATTAGCAGAATTGAGGCAAGACAACAATTAACTGTGGAGTAGTTTGGCTTTAGTATGGTCGAGCAAGGATTGTGCTTTCCTCTTCTTGCATTCACTGACTACCCTCTTAATATATGCAATGTAGCCATCAACATCAAATTTTCTCTTGCACCCAGCAAAGTTCATGTATCTTATTTTTCCAAAAACTGGTCGCTCTCTCCACCCCTGGTCGTGCACTCCACATATTGACCACATGCATCCAACATAACCATTTGGATCCCTGCCGTCTATCTGATACTGCAAGCAAAAGTGACCATTGAATTGGATCTGATTGACATAGAATATAACAACACATCTGAATCAAATTTTATTACCTTATCATTTAAATAGATTGAAGTTGCAAGGGCTTCTTCTGGTCCACTGGTCCATTCAAGTATCTTTTTTGCCCAATACATCCTGTGTTTTGTTTTTTAGGTTTAATCGAAACTCGTAATGGTGAGAATAAGAAGAGTGTAAAGGTTAGAAATTACTTGCCTCATAAAACCATGCATCTTGCCATAGTGAACCATTTCCAACTGAGAGGCATTCCAAAGCTGAAGAAAAAATAAAAGTATAAGCACAAGATAAAAGAAATAAAGGGCATGAAGATGCAATAATACCTATTCAAAATGATTAACTAGAGCTTACAGGATCAACGGTTTGTGCCTTCTCCAATTGCTCCCTCCTACAAACATCACATTTCATGAAACTATATATTGTTATGTTAGTAAATCAAAAGCTCTAAAATTTATACACTCACTTATATACATGTTCACGTTTATCAGAGGCATGGTCGGTCAATGTTTTACGAGCCCACTCCCATGCACCCTGCACCGAATCATAGTGTGGCTGGTAGAAGCAGAAGTTATCAGCGAGTTCTCTCCGCACTATCAATTCCTCTAGAAACACATCAACTGCCTTCACAATAGTAGTCAAATGTATCATTCATGCATATACAATAGGAGATAGATATATCATTCCATTATCAGGAACAAATAACTCTATAGCCACCAACCTGAGGATAAAGTTTGCGAACGTTACGTGCTTCTAAGGCACAACGTTGTGCTGATATTTGCCCGAAATGCAAATATGGTGAGAGGCCAGAGAGCGCCTTGGGTTTCATTGGGTTATTTCGGTCCGAGGAATAATTCTTCAATCGGGTAGTCAAGAACCCCTTTTTCTCCCCCATTAATACTTCCATTGCAGCTTGTTCACCTGGTTCACACCATTCAAGTTCAGGAACTTCTGCTCCTTTCCTGGTCATGCAGTCATAAGTAAGCAACATATAACCTTAAAATTTCGCAAGAAATCATAGACAATCCATTCAACAAGAGAAAGTGGCTAGCTAACCTTAAAACATCTGCAATGAGGTTTCCCCAATCTATAGAATGACTCGAGGAACCCCATTCTTTCTTAGGAGGGTTAATTGTAGGAAAGTCGATTAAATACTCAGGAAGCTGTTTGTTTATCTTGCCTCTTATAGTCCTAGCACCGTATTCTAACTTATCTGATGCCAGCCAAACAGGCACTATGTTGTGTGCATCCACTTCATGAATCGACACTGATTCACTTACCCTCTTGCAGAGCTCTTCTTTCCATTGACGAACCTCGCGTAGTGGTGAAAAATCCGTCACCAAAAGTGAAGCCTCACATTCTCTAAGAAAATTCGGAATTGTGTCCACAGCTTCTCCCTATTTGATAAATCAAAAGAATAATTTTTCAACTTTGTAGAACAGCCTATCTTTAACCCTCTACTCAATCGCATAACAGAATCCCAATATTATATAAATTGTAAACCAATATAAAAAATGCTAAAAAAAAAATGGAAAATCAGCAAAAACATAATAAATGTGCGCAAGGGTCTTGCCTGAAACAAGAAAAATGGAATATTCAGGCATTTTTGAAGATCAAAGTACAAATTCTGTAAACCTCTAAGCATGAATCCAAATTGCCTGGCTTTTGCACCCTTAAACTGATCGAACAAATTGAAAGCTATAGCCACAGGTACATTCGATTTATTTGCCTGATCGACGGCGTGGATCAAAGCCCAGTTGTCCCTAAGCCGTTGATCCCTGAACATCCAGTACACCACAGGCCCTACCAGCTTCTGATTAGACGGCCCTAGTGCTTGCTTCAGGACCCGAACCCGACCCTGTTGAACGGAGGGGATGGCCGATGACATGGTTTTGTTGTGCGATTGTGAGCGGGAGGTTAATGGGAATGTTGAAGGTTTGAGTAGTGTTTTTGGGGTTTAGAGGAAATGGAGGGAAAATGAAACCGTTAACGGTTGTGGCTCTGAAATGAGACACGTAGGATGTTTTTAAATCGTCAGTTTGGTTGACTTTTTTAGTTGTTGACTTGTAATGGATTAAGTGGATTGATGTAGTTGGGCCTTATTCGAGCCCAGTGGGCCTTCATATTTCTATGAGTGAAAATTTGGGCCGAGATTGGAAACCAAACTCAATAAGTCGTGGGTTAAACATGTTTTGTTAAAATAAATCAACTCAAATAGCCAAATTCTCGTGTCATGAACTAAAGAAGTGGAAGAAGCAAGCTCACTATCCATTTTAAACTAGCTGGAATGAGTTGCTTTCTACTTCCTGAAGGGAGATGCCATTATTTCGAGTCAGAGCTAAACCTTCTTGTAGTCTCAATGCTTCTGCATACTCAAGTGAAAGAAACACATCCAATCTCATAGTAACAACAAAAATCCCAAATAATACCTCGTAACTAGGGGTGTCCAAAAGTCTCGAATCGAATCGGACCGGACTGAACTGAACCCAAACCGAATCGAGCGGTTCTTCATAAATAAAATACCCGAACGGGTACCCGAATCGAGAATCGATGGGTTTGTGTCGAGTCTCGGGTCTAGACCAAGAATCGAATAAGAATCGAAACTAAATAATTTTTTTTATTTTTTATATTGAATTAATTAAATTATTTTATTTTTTTCTAAACAAATTAGCAAATTAATTAAATAAATCAG